AAGTCAAAATTGCAAGTTGAAAGTATGTAAAATTCTATGAAAGTGCGAATTTGATACAAAGTATACGACAAAAATAAACTAAGAGAAAGAAAAAACAGGAAAAGCGTTTGTACAAAAAAACCGAACTGCCTATACGGAAATGCAGTAAAAACGTGCAATGCCACCAAACGTCTGCAAACTGCTAAGCCAAGGTAAAACTAAAAAGTATTGCTGCCAAACGGGCAAAGCTAAAAAACCGAAAGCACGCAACAAACAATAAAAAAGTAAAAAAATAAACACAACGGAAATAATGCAGCTCAAACGAGAAAGGAAACCACAGTTGTAACAATGAGCGTAAGTACTAGGAATGTCAATCCCGGGATGCCGGGATCCGGGACTCTGACGTCAGTAGTTCAAAAAAGATTAAAAAAATTCAGTGAAATGTGCTTAGAGAAGAAGCATGAATATCAACATAAAGAGGAAATCCTGTAGAATTCAAACAGATTCAAGTTTTTGGTGCAGAAGCACTGGTACGTATTGAAAACGTCCTTTTAAAATTGTATCCTTGAAATTTCGCAATATTTGTTTTTGAAAAAATTATATGTTAAGGACATATATACACCCGATAACATATCGAATTTCATCCTTATAACTTTACCAGCTTAAAAAATTACCTATTCGGCTTTGTGAATCCAAACAATTTAAATTTTTTTTTTTTAATTCTAAAGAAATTTCCACTTTCATTTGGTACCCTTATTTTTATTCTACATTTCATTGAATTTTTTATATAATTTTTTGGAATTAGTCATATCTTTGAAATTACAAAGTCCTTTAAAAAATAAATCCTGACGTCAGAGAGAAAAAATAAAAACGCCACTTTAAATAAAAAAGTAGGTTTCAAACCCATCTATTTATTATTTATTTTATGGTAGGCGAGCTTCTCAAACAATATAAAAGCAATTTTTCGATTTAAGTTGTTGAAAAGTAATGAATATCTAAATACCGGGACTAATCCCGGGATCCCTGAATTGCGATAATGACATCCCGAAAATCGCGGGATCGGAAAAAGCTGAAAAATTAACATCCCTAGCAAGCACGCATACAATCATATACGTACATGCAAGGCACTAATATTATACTGTATTGTTGTTGTTGTAGTAAGTCTCTAACAAAATTGCATACTAGCGAATTTAAATTAAAACTTTTTACCACCAACTACTAGGAAGGAGTACTATATAGCTGCGTAGTAGCAAACTGGCGCTGGGCAAAAATGCGAACGACTTGCGTTACTCGTACTAACAAAGCAGCGGCAGTCCTATGAAAATTCAATTATGATACAAAATGTATGTATACAACACACAAAAGAGTTGCAGCTAAATTTTTGTGAATTTTTCATAATTTTATGCACAGAAAGTTTACCTTTTCAGGGCTGTGTGTAGCTGGTTGAAAACGGCAAGGAAGTAAAGCAGAGTTGAAGGCCACGGGCGGCAGGAAGTAATAGGAATTAAAGTAAGCGGCGTGCATGCAGATGTAGTAGTTACTTGTACATACATACATATGTGTGTATGTATGTATGACGTATACCAAAGTAGAGAAACTTTAAAGCATTTAATTTTGAAGGAGCACCGAAAATGATTATGCGTTTGGGTCTTAAGTTTTGCATTTATGGAAATTTTCGTTTATTAATTTTACCTGCAGAGTTGCAGTGGGTTAATTAATATCAGCATTTTTTTTAACCACAAATCTTAAACGATAAAGATGTGGGTGATGCGTGATGGGGTTTCGAAAATTTCCTAGGTTTTAGTGATGGCCTCTGCATTCGACCCAATTCTCTTACCACTCCATAAGTTTTGGAAACAGGGAAACAGTTGCAGGTTAATGCAAGCCATTTTTTCACTGCAGCTAAGAGCTATTTTTTTACAAGCTTTTTATTTACGTAACTTGCTATATATGTATGTATGTTTGTTTGGGCAAAATCTTGCAATCGATTTTTAACCAACTTCCCGATGAACTGTGGTATTGAAACTTTAAACCTAGTCCAGAACCCGATGACAATGCAACATTAGTTAATCGGCGAGGGGGCCCAATAGGCGAGATATTTGAAATCCCCCGATATAGCCCGAACAGAGTTATCACTTCGCGGTATTTCTACACTTAGTTGCCTCGCAAGCTAGCTATGATTAGCTCCTTCGTAATAGTCTCCGCAAACACTTTGGCCAAGTTTTCAGATCTTCTGTGGTACTCGTTTAAGATGCTTACTTCATGAGGTCGCTAAGAAATCTATATCAACAGCTTTGTGATCGCTGTGCTAGTTATGTCGACCCATTCTCTTCGCCATATTTTGTAGTTGCGCTGGCCACATTTCCCTCGAGCTAAAGTCGTGATAAGTAATCTCCTCCTACTCATCTACTTATACTGAGAGGAGCATACGAACAGCTTAAAATATACCATAAGTGTCATACGTTTTATCCGATTTTCTCCGACACATCCGAAGAGTCAGCGTTGGTCATAACAATTTCAGTCAGCCAACAAAGCACAGTCAGATCCATTAATAGTTGCATGCTCTACTCTTTGTATAATTACTGTTGCATATTAATCGGCAAAAGAGCGAAATTTTTTTAACACGATTTACTCATCTGTAATGCTCTCAAATATCTGGCGCTTAAATATGAATATGTAGGTACTTCATACATTAATGCCCATACCGTATATTAGCTCGTATTTTCATTAAAGCCAATTCATATCTCTTCAAAAAAAAAAAGTAACCGCGCCAATACACTCTTGACAGAGGCGAGAAACACTTGAAATACCAAATTGGCGCCGCTTTAAAGCGATTACCCTAAATGCCCCTTAACGAACCCTCAAAAGTATGCAATAAAAAATTAAAACTGCTCAGAATAATTGCCACAAAAGCGCTGCGATTAAAATGTATGCGGGAATGTATGAATGCATGTGTGTGTGTTTGTGTAAATGTAAAAAAATGCTCATTTGCAGCAAAAATGGAGTAACTAAAATTATGTTTATTTATTAATAGACTACAAACGAGTTTGTGCTCACGCTCTAGATACTTATGCAGTTAGAATGGTTCATAATAATGAAAATACACTGAGAGAAAAAAATTTTAGAATTAAAAAAAACGTGCTAAATTTAAAAAATACGCATATGAAAGAGCACCAAGCCAACTCGTAATAAATTTTAGTATACAAATTTTAGTATTTAGTACGGAAATATTCAATTCAAATACGTTCATATTAAAATGAAGCGTTTTGCGCTTAACGGATGCTTTTTCATAATTAAGTTTATTTCCATGCCGCCTGCAATGGAATTTGAACCCTGACTCTCTTGAAATAAACAAATTGTGGCAAGCATCTTTACGCACTCAACTACAGCCAGACATGTAAATGTGCCATCAAATGCTGAGTATTATTTTTAAATACGCACATTTAAAAACGATAATCAAATAAAAAATATTTATTTTTCTCTCAGTCTACAAATATATATCAACATGGAAATGGAACAATTGATAGTTGAAAATAATTCTTTGGTATGTAACTTAAAACATTTTTTTCTGATATTTATAAACTAAGAGTATTTTTCTTTTTACTAAAATTTGACACTAATATTTATTAATTTAAAAATTGGATAAAATTCACGAGAATTTGAAAATTGGATATACGTTTTTGGAAATTTGTGTGTTGGATATAAATATTCGTACGTTTAAAAACTGTCCATAAATATTATTATTAAAAAAAAACTGGGCACAAGTTTTGGTCGCCTAAAACTGGACATGTTTTCTTTTTTCTTTTTTTAAATCTGGACATAGGTCTTTTTTATTTAAAATTGTAAATATGTATGAACAAAAATTTTTGGTTATAAAAAAAAAAGTAGTCATGCAAAAACTGGAAAATTTTCATTTTTGGAAATTTAAGAAAATTAAAACCGGGATATAGTTTTGAGGCAATTTAAGAACCGGGTGTAAATACTTCAAAACTTAATATGCATACATTTTTTGTCATTTGAGAAGTAGACATAAATTTTTGGACATAATTTTGTCGCAATTTAAGAACTGCGCATAATTTTCCTTTCTTTAAAAACTGGACATAACTTTTTTTATTTAGAAACTGGATATAAAGTGTTGTTAATTAAAAACTGGGTTTTTTGTCAGTTGAAAACTGAACATAATTCCTTTTTACAAACAGACATAGACTTTTTATTATCTTAAACTGAACATTGTTTCCTGTGTTTACAGTAAAAGTGTTGTCGGACACTTTTTACCGTCCATAATTTATGGCAAATTTTCAAATGAATTTAACCTCAAATTCAAATGTAAATTTTTTAAATGGCCCGAAATATATGATCAGACTTTAAATTGCCAAAACAAATAGCATATGTTCGGGTTTTAACTACATAAAAAGAATTACGTATGTCCATGCTTTAAATGGCCAAAATTTTATGAACAAAAAAAATTGCCAGTATATGACCACAGTATGTTAAGTTTTATTTTTATGACCAAAAAGTATGCTCAGTTTTAAAGTAGCCAAAACTTTATGTCCAAAAATCATGTCCGGTTTTCAAAAGTCTACAAAATTATGTGCAGTTTTCAAATTACCAAAAATGTGGAATTATTATTTTTTTGCCAAAAAATTATGTCCTGTCTTAAATAGCCAAAAAATTGTGTACATTTTTAAAGAACCAAAAATCTATGCCCCGAGTTAAGTGTCCAAAAATGCACATCCGGTTCGTACTTTCAACCATACAAAGGCAAATAAGACTCTACAAAGCAGAGAATTCTCAATCGTATTTCTCGATTTATGTACTTATTTCCACAAACCAGTGATGCGTATGTATGATATGTATATGTATATAAGCATACGTACATTCGCATTGCACTGTTAATATATGTATATGCAAAGCGTATAATTGTACATAAAAACATATGTACATACATATGGAGGTGTCTGTAATTTTCGTAAAATTGTGTAAGCTCGCTTTTTGTGCTCGCACTGCCATTTACTACTTACCCAACAAAAACGCCCGTATCGACGTAATGAGTGTAGTAAAAAATCGTAACGACCGTTATGGCGAATAACGCCAGCACACAACGTCGCACATTGATTGCCTTCAACAGAGGCATACCGAAGCAGCAGCGAGCAATTAAATGACTGCAACAATTACACACCAATGCAACGGCGCCGGATGATGACCCGTACCCAGCGCCGGACCCCGACCCCGACACCGACACCGACACCGAGTACGATGATGCCAATAAAGAGGCACCGTTTGATGTGTACAGAGCGGCGGGTGAGGAGGCCGAACGCGCTGATGCTGGCGACGCCGGCGATGTGTAGTACGACGGCGAAGAGTTTGGTTGCGTTATGGCAGCTGGCTCGTAGTTATTGCTGGCGCCGGCGCTGCTGGTGGTGGTGGTTGAGGTATGGTAGAAACCTTTGCTGTTTCTCGCCAAATTGGCATTACTGTTGCTGCTGCCATTGTTTGGCCTGCTGGTGTTGGTGTTAGCGGTGGTGGTGGTAGAATGTTGGTAGGCGGGCGCTATGGCATCAGCATCGGGCAGGAGTGCGTCCGTGTCGGACGCAGATGAGCCATTACTCGTGTCACTATTGCCAAAATATTTCAAGTTATTACCAGAGCGGCCATTGCCATTGTTACTCGTGCTGCTGCCATAACTGTTGCCATTACCGGTGGTCATGTTGGCAAAGTCACCACCACCATTGCCATTGTTGCTGCTGTCCCGACGACTTTGTGTGCATAGCTGCAGTGTTGTTGTTGTTGCTGCCGGTGCCGCTGCCGCTGTTGCTAACGGCGTCGGATACGGATGCTGCTGTTGATAATTGCCACTCCAGCTATTGCCACCATTTCCACTAGCGTTTCCTCTTCGGCTACCAACTTTGGCATGCGGCGTCGCCATGGCTGAAGCTGTGGCTATGACTGTGGCTGCTGGTGATAAATGCATTTCCGCGCCTTCCAAATGTGTTTGCCAATTTTTCATCATCGCCGCCGCCGCCGTCGTCTCTCTCGATGCTGGGCTTACCGCAGCTAGACGTGTGGCTGGTGCAGCTGTGCTGGCCGGCGTTATAGATTGCGCTGTAGATGAATGCTCGTACCACGGCTCTGCCGTTGGCTGGTCTTCCAAGCGCCATTGTTGCTGCTGCTGTTTCTGTTCAGGCTGCCTTTGCGCCAGCCACTCATTACCGTTGGCAGTTAGTGCCGCCTCGGACGTTATGTCAACTGCCTTTGTTGGCGTGCGCGTTCGCGTCGTTTGATTTATGAGTCGCTCATATTTGAGCGATTTCCCCGGCAGAATTTTACTCATGCGCGCGGCGGTATTCGGGTTGCCGCGTGGATTTTCTTTCACTGTAGCAACGTTTGTGTTCATTTCAGTTGTTATACTCGTCGACTGCTGGTTGAGCCCGGAAGTATTTGCTAGTGTTGTTGGTCGTTGCAAGCGCTTTATACGCCCGCCTGTCGCGCTGCGCCGCGTGTCGCCGCTCTCAGGTTGAAAGCCTCGCGTCGGTGCTGGGCTGCTGATGGGTTTTGGTGTTGTTAGCAGCAATAACTCAGTGTCGCCAGCAACGTTGTTGTTACCGTTATTACTGTTGATATTTCGTCTGCGATTCAAAGGATTTGATATTGTCATTTGGTAAGCTGCTTGCTTTGCTTTGTTGATTTTTTACTTTAATTTTCGAGTATTTTTTTTTTTTAATTTCTTTTTGGAACCTTTTTTTCGGTGGTGGCGTTATCGTTTCTGCTTATAACGGTTTCTGCTTTTACAGTATTCCGTTATGCATTTGTTGGCAGCAGTAAGATATGTTTCGAAGCTTCTTTTAATTCGTAGGGTGCAAGTGTGGTCTCCTAGGGGGGTTAATTCTATTGATGGCACTGATAGTTAGAGTTGTCTGAGACTTTGCTTTGAATTTGAGTTGTGCGTTCACTTATTTTTTTTTATCTTATCACAACAGTGGTTTAGTGTTTGAAAACAATTAAGTACGGCACTTGAAAAAGTAAAATATATTTAATGGAGTTTACTTCTACGATATATTAAGTTACTTTATAAAATACTTATGTATATTTTTTTCATTTTTTCCCCATTTATTTAGTTATTCCTTTTTTCCATAAAAATAATCCTTTTAATAAATACATTTTAAGGTTAAACTTTAACTTTTTTGGAAATTTTTATTTTGGTCTTTCGAAAATTTTCAAGCGTTTTCAAAGTTGAGTTTATAGGTATTTGAAAGATTTTAATTTTTTGAGTGTATTTATTTTTGCAAGTTTTGAATTTTTTTAAAGTTTTTTGTTCTTTGAAAGTTTTTGTTTTTTGAAAGTTTTTAGTTTTTTGAAAATTTTTAATGTTTCGAAAATTTTTACAAAAAAAAAGGATAGTTTTTAACTTTCAAAGCTGTATTTTTAAATTTAAATTATTTGAAAGTTTTTAATTTTTTATGGAAGGTTTTAATTTCTTGAAAGTTATTTCTTTTTAACTACATTATTTCAATGTTTTTGATAGGTCAAGTATTTTTCGATATTTTCTAATTTCTGAAACTTTTTTATTGTACTTTTTTAAATACTTTTTTTTTTTTTTAAATTTGAATTTTTTTAAATTTGAAAATATTGAAATTTTTAAAAAAGCTAAATTTCGAATTTTTCGAAAATTTTAATTACGAGTTTTGATATGTATGTATTGAAAAATTTTATATTTTGTGAGAACCTTGTATTATTTGAAAGTTTTCACTTGTTTTAATTTTTCTAATAAATTTTGCTCCAACATGCATTACTTAATGTAAAAGATAACACACTGTTACATACACTTGTTCTCGCGTCCATATTTACATTTAAAGGTATAACCTCAAAACTTTGCACTTTTTTGTCCCACACTGAAAAACTGAAATTTTGCCAACTTCCTGCACTTGCTACTCTACTCAGTTTTTCTCACAATACTAAACTCTGTTTATAATTGCAGTCACGTCGCCATTTGATATGTTTCCAAATTTTTACATATACAACACTTTGCCTTTGCGCATGCGCTATGGCCATTCTGTGGACTAACAGCTCTTGTCAAATAGTCGTTGCATTTAGCGACGTTGTTGTTGCACACATTTCGGTAGCTGATTTCTGTTGCTCTCGGCAATTTTCAATATTCATTGTCGGCATACTTAGTCCACATGTTGCAAGTTGTCAAGTTTCATTTCACATTCACTTATGAAATCTGATTTATATTTAGAGCGCAAACTTAACGGTTGCCTTTATTTTTATTTTTTTTTGTTTGTTTAATTGTTGTTGTTAATGCAGTTGACAGTCATTGTCCATTTTCAGCTTACAATGCATTCGAGTTTTGTCACACTGCATCACATGAGCTTATGGCCTTATATGCGTATATACATATGTATGTATGTATGTTAAGATATGGCACTTATATATGTAAATATATGGCATTCGTTTCTCATTTAAGCTCCGCTTCTCCAAAGCGTTTCGTATTTCGCCATCTATCCCCTCGCACTAATCCGTCGCCTTCATTGCCGTCGACTTGTTCCGCTTCAACTGATTGCGCTCAGCTTGTCAATTGTCAACTGACCGACCAAACGATCTAGTGTGTCTGGGCCTCATCGACAATTCGTTATCTGCAGAAATAAAAAGAAAATGAAAAATTATTATTAAAAATTATTTACTTTGTAGAATTTTTAAAAGCAAAATTCATTTTGCTATCACTTTCAATATTCATTGCAAAATTTTGTGTTAATTTTTTTATGCGCATAAATAATACTTTAAATGTGCAAATACTTTGCTAGTTTTTATTTGTCACGCAGAGGTTCTAATAGCGACCAGGACGGACGTAGGGGTGGTAGATGTGTGGATTTCAAGTGGTCTACGGTTAATTAATGGCGGGTATGTGTGTCAGTATTATTTACATTAATTACTTAATAGTGTCAATAGAGAATGCTTAGCATTCAGTTTTTGTTGTTCTTATGGGCGGCATACACGGTGCGCCTGACTCGCGAGTCACTTGTATACGTGTTGACTCGCATTCGACTACTTAAAGTTGCATCATTCAGAGTCATGTCGGAAGTCAAGTTGGTGTAACTAACACATATTTCTTTTCACAAACACATCCAAACCGAATCACGAGTCAGACGCACAGTGTATGCCGCCTATTATGCCTACTATTCCTACTAACGATACCATGCAGGTATCGATACTTTTACTTTTACTTGGGAAATAGTATCGAAAGAGAGTAACGATACTCGAAAACTCTCGGATCTAAAGTATCGATATCTATTTACTTGTATCGATAATTTTGACTATGATGGTATTTATTCCATACGAACTGAGATACAATTTATTTTTAAAGTAATAAGTTAATTCTCTCTCTCTCTCTGTGCTCACAAGCCATAACAAAGGTAATGGTTTTTCAATAGCAAGTATGCCATTTTCAATCCCAGGCTGGAAATGGAATATTATATATATTAAAGTCAACCTCTCTTGAGCTGTTAAGGCTTGCGACCACGGAATTAGCCTCTGGAAATCCCAAACTCCGAAAAATACAAGTTAATAAAACATAGCAAAACTATATTTTTAATGATAAATGGTATTAAACATATATAATACATATGTAGGTACATTGGAAAAGGTGATAAGAAATTAATCACGTTACGAAAAAATTTAATCATAATTTTTTTTTTTTTTTTTTTATTTTATTTTATTTTTTATTTTTTTTTACTTCCCAAGAATAGAAGTTTTTCCAAATGTTTGCCCAGCATTTTTTTCGCTTTGTTATTGTTGCCCCCGCTTAAGAAAGCAATCGTTCGCATGGAACAAATTAGAGATGGGCGCGGGACACCGGAATTTTAAAATCGGTTTTAATTTTTTTTTTTTAATGAGGACCTGAAATAAATTTTTAATTTATACAATATTTTTTGTTTTTGTTAATATTTAGTAGATGATTATCCCCAACCAAAAAAGTCTCCGGATATGATACTGTGCTTAAACTGCTTTATTCCAAACCGCAGAGAAAACTAAGGCAATAAATTTTTATTCGCTCATAGTAAGATATTAACGTAAATTAATGCTAGTGTGAGTATATTAATTTGTCGTTTGTATTTATTTGACTTCTCTCTGTGAGAAACCACAAAATCGACACTCATTCCCATCGGTACTAAATACAAGCAATACGAGCAATTATGTACTTACATATGTAGTTACATGTACTACATATATAGATAAATACATAAAGACATACATGAAAACATGAATCAAATTCCTACACGCGCTCTGACTACACGCTGACATATGAAGAAGGTGACAGCGACAATTGATGATAATTATAAAATACATATGTACACACGCATAGGAGTGTTTAAAATCTAAGTGAATCTAACCGTTTGATAAGAACCGCCGCCAACACGACAAGCAACCGGTCGCTTAGACTTTTAATGAGTTTGTAAAGTGACGCGGTGCTATGGAGAGCGTCAAGCGATGACGCAGGCGTCTAATAGCGCCACCTCAAATGAGAGTAAAGACTATCAGTACGTAAATTAGAAAAAAAAAAATTGTCCATAAAAAAATTTCGAGGGTTCAAACCGCTCATTCGATTTTATTATTCAATTGCCTTCAAAGTATACTTGTCCGTGAAATGATTTTTATGTACACTTCGCTTCACTTGAATAGCTACAAATTTTTTGCTCGAGATCTGAGCACGTGTTGATTTTCTTCAAATATTCTTAATGTTTTTCGACCTACATTTTTGTTGTTGTTATTTTTATATAAAAATATCTTCTAAGCTTTAACCAAAACCTTGTAAATCACAGGGCCAAAATTCAGAATAAAAAGTTGAAATTTTGGTAAAAATTTGTTGAATTTTCCTAAATTTTGTATAAAGTAAACTATGATTTACACGGTTTTGGGTAAAGCTTGGACGATATTTTTATTTAAAAAAAAACGAAAAAAAAATTAGCTGGAAAATATTACGAATATTAAAAAAAAAAACAAATTCGTCATTCTTCTAAATGAGATTAAAACGAAGCTGCTCCTACGCCCACAAGTCCAGATATAAGCTTGGATTTTGTGGAAAAATTGTGTACCTATTCAAGTGAAGCCGAGTGTACATACATATTTGATTTACGAAGTATTACACTACACATTCACGTAAATCATGCAAGCAACAAATTATAACAGTTTTAAAGTCAGTCCAAAAGAGTTCAAACAATAATGCTATTTTTATTTAATTTATTTAATGATAATGAAAACCGCTGAGGACGCACATTTAAACTTTTTGTATTCTCACATTGTGTTGTTAATAGTTTTCTATAATTATGCATACGAATATATTTTAAATTATCGCGTTCGGCCAGCTGCACTTGAACGTTGACATGCGCCGCGAATTGTGGTTTCATAGGTTGGCGGTTAGTTGGCAGGAAATGCGGTTTTGGATGGTGTGGGCAATTATGTGCATACGCCGCACGTTATAGTGTATGTTATACAGGTGTTTATTTTGAGATCGGGTGATCCCGATTTCCAGCAGATATTTTCACTCGTTGTGTCGTCTTCAAGTTCATTTTTCGAATCAAAAACCAAAACCAACGAAAAAACGAAAAAGGTGGGTTTCATAAATGTAGCTGCGGTTGAGCACCGCCGGTCACGGGGAGACTACGCAGTATCTAAGGTCAGTGGTTAGTCAAAGCTTGTGGCGAAGCCCGGTCAGAATCAAAAGACCACAGCAAGCAAACCAGGCAGTAGGATTAAACAAGAGGTCTTACCTGCGACATGCCTGTCTAAAATTGTGCTGGCCCAGCTATTCCGATTTCAGCTTCGGCAGCCGCAGAGGCCTTCACTATGCCAGGTGTACGCATGGAGTAGAGCGGGGAGGATTTTAGTAATAGAGTAAGCGAAATGATTTTGAAAAAGTCTGTTCAAAAGGGTGCAGAACGTGTGTGGGAACATAGAACAATAAAGGTTTGTCGAGGACTAGCCGCGCACCAGGTGTAAGAGGCAAAAATAATACGGAAGCTCATCTAACGCTCCACCTTACGACAGTTAAACCCACACGGTTTAGAATAGAGGAGCCTTCGTTCTCTGAGATCGCAAAATATCACAATCTATTTGATATTTCGGGTGCCAACCAGGAATTTGGGTTAGCCATTAAGTAGGGCTCAATGGAAATAGGACAAGGGGAAACGTCGTGCATCGTGATCAAGGCAGCTCATAATAACCCACCGCCATTGTGGGAGAAGGAAGGCTGGTTCCATGACAATAATAAGAAGACCCTGAAATGATAATAAAGGCACAAAGGGATTAATTATCGGAGGTCGCACACAAAACGAGGTTAACTTCTATGGCGTTCTTATAAAAGATTTTCTCTATGAATATGTTTCAGATATAAGGAGCTAAGGCTAATCTGTTGATATGACGACGGGCACAGATATACCATTTGTTTTGGCCCCTAAAAACGAACTAATACCTGGAGCCTCTTGGAAAGAAAGTATGTTGTTAGCTTTTCTAAAAGGGAGTGCTGGAGAGATCCAGACGCTATCTTTCATTAAAAGCCTTCTACACTGACGGCTTTAGAACTGAATATGGAGCTGGGTATAGATGGCATCTGAGGATAACTTCAGATGCTTTACTGCCTTAGGTACTATAATTACAACGGTGCTTCAATCGGAAGATTGGATAATTGGCGAAAGGTGGAGCGGAGAACAAATCAGTATCTGAAGTGACAGCCGAGCTGATCTAAAGGCCTTGGAAAGCACTCGCATCTCTTCAAATATAAGCAAGGAATGAAAGTTTATGGCTGAATTCCGTTGCAAAATTGAACAAACTTGAAGTTATGCTGGTACCAGGCAGTCGTAGTTAGTGTTTAAGCTTATGAACCAACAGATGTATTGACAAACTGGTGTTCTTAGGATCGCCCAATTGTACTTTTAAAGCCAAGCAGAGCAGGAACTGTCACATACATAAGGGGCATAACAATTAACCCTACGCGTCCCTCATTGATGCAATACTGACGAGATGCACAGCAACTGTTGTTGCCTTAAGAGGACAGACAGATTGGTGTCGAAATTCGTTCTCAAACAGAGGAGCTACACACAGAGGAGGACACAATCCTTGTGGACGACATATGGTCAACATAGTTATCATCGACGACCCACTGCGTCCGTCTTGTTCGCCTTTCGCCAGTCTGTGATGGCTAATTTTTGGGTCGTATGTTTTAAGAATGGCCGAACAACATAAGTACATTCGCTTTCCCTAGGCAAACTATTAAGATTCATAAAAGAGTGTGGAGCCCGCCTGTTTTCCCCTATCCTCTTAATTATTTTTTTTAGATCTTAAGTACAATGAGCTATCGTTTCAAATTTTTTCTAGTGCTCAACTATTACAATGTGCAATACTGCCTAAGTGCTTGTAAAAGCCTTATTGTCTACCACTAATTCCATTCCGTTCCACGACGAAGGCAAGTGTTCAAGTTTTCCTTTTTTTCGAAAAATCCAACCTAAAAACCAAAATTTTGTAAACTTTAGATGTTTGCTTAGATTTTGGACGAATCCCCGAATACCGAGTTTTCGGGACCAATATTTATCATTTACACTAACATCCCACACATAGTCTTCGTTGTTGGCGAACTTGAACT